CACGCCCTGCATACGCCCTAAGTCCGGGCCTGACCCTCCGCTTCGTCGAATCCATACCCTAAGCTTCGAAAGGATTTAATGATCAAATGAACTCCATTTTGCAATAAGGAACCGCAATTTCTGGCTTCGTTCAGGAACAACGTATGTGCCATTAGTTTCCTTATGCACACAAGTTTTTTTACTCGTGAGCCAGAAATTGTAGTTCCGAATAGCAAAATGTTGTCCAAGTGGTCACGCCATTACATCGCTGAGCAACGAGGAAGCCTACAGGTAGTCGTCTCATTTACATATGCTTCTATTTAAAATTATTTGTAAACATATTATGTTCTCCAATAATTGTTCGATTTAGAAACCAAAGATATTCTCGTACTCAATTTTCAAGATGAATTATGAAAATCAAAAAATTTAAGACACCTGCATATTCTCTATTGAAGCTTACTATGTGAGATAAATTTTCTCTCTTAGAATAGACAACTATTCGAGCTTCCCGGTAGGTTTCCATCCTTATGCGAATTGAAGGCGAACTCTCAGGTGGACTAAGAATTGATGCGCAAGAGATTGCATACTTTCCAGGCTGTCTTTAAAAACCACGCATTATGAGTGCTTCCGAGCCACTCTAAAAAAAAGCTGCAGTAATCTCCGGGTTTTCCGGACCTGTACACACCCTGATCTAGGGAGAGCGCTTTCAGCTGGAGAACATTTCTCATCGATAGCCGAAAAAATTAATCGGCAGAAAAAAAGTTTGAGGTCGATACTCAAATCCCGTCGGATCGACCGAACTCCGTCTTGCGAGAGAACGTCTTATGAGCCCTCGGACGTTGCCAAAATTCGTGTGATAAAACGGAAATTTCATGGGAAATTTGTGATTTTTCCACCTAATGGAGAATTTGCACGAAAGTTTTTTATTGCTTTATCTGGCAGTGCCTAAAGAGCTGATTTTGCAGTATTTTTTACAAAAATTTTCTGCGATGGGAAATAGTATAAAAATAAATTTAAAAGTGAGAAAATGCACCACCTAGTGAAGTCATCTGGCGGCATTTCCCATTTAAACAAATGTATTTTAGCAGATTGGGTTATCTTGTCATATCTTTACCAATATTTGTTCAATTTATGAACAAAGTGTTCCTCGAGTTCAGTTCACTCAGTAGTTTCCACTTAAACACGAAATTCATAAAATATCAGACACCTGCGAATTCTCCATTTGCCTATGAATTTTAATCGCGATTTCATCAAAACTATCTAAATTCATATATTTCAAGGAAAAATATTCATACCGTACCTTACCAAAAAATAATATTAATATTATCGTGATACGCACCGCTTTTGTTTGAGGAACTACGCACTACGCAGTTGAGTGTTGTGTATGTTGCCTAGCTCCTATTTGAAGGGGCCCCATTTACTGAAACTTATTGCAATTTATGTAAATGAAGGGAAGAAAATTAGTTGGCAGTTGGGTTTCAAGTATAGATTTATCATTTGAAAGACAATAACTCGTACAAACAACTGTACAAAAGTACAAAAACTTCAAAATCTGAAGTTGAAAACCACTAGCTGACGCCGCGAGTTTGAATGATCTCGTCAAACGTCAAACACAGTACGACCGGCGCAGCGCAGGGCTAGCGTGCACTGCACGGCGCGACACGTATAGGAGCGCCTTACTTCCTGCATTACGCGCACAGCACGGCGCGCACGCCGAGGCATAGTAGCGCCTTACAAGTTGGCAAGATACTTCATGCATTGCGCGTATGCCTCAGTGCGGAGTGCGCACTCATGACTCAAGTCGTATTTTCTTGGTGTCGGACTTACCCCGGTACCATCTTCGCACAGTGCACACCGCGAGCTTGCAATCCTAAAATCACAGGATTGTAGAGATTTTGCAATCCTGTATCTTTTCCGATGAAAATATAATTTAAGAGTTGAAATTTCTCAGGTTGGAATGCTGTTACGTTCTACCGTCCAGGAAAAATCGAAATTAGCCGACTCCCAGGGAAAGAAATTGGACATTTTTTTCATCACTAATGTAGCCAAATTTCCAGGGAGATATATTCTTGGTATCACACTCACGCAAAAATGAACTCTGGCAATCTAACCTAACTTCGGCAATTTTTGCAAAATGACCTTGGTACGCCTGTGGCCAATATCGAACAATTATGGAGGAAGGAGGGGGGGGGGGGGTAGTCGGGCGGCACCGCGATGGGCCGGTCTATTCTGCCGTGCTAAGGAAGAACGCCGTATGGACATTCAAGAGTTGCCAAATTTCCTGCGATAAAATGTTTATTTTTGAAAGAAGCTGTGGATATTTTTCCTTGAAATTTTCAGAAACTTTAAGTGAAACTGGGAACAATATTATCCGAAAAATCGGAGGAAAAATATTCATAAGTTCACCAAGAAATTCGTGTTTTATCAATCGAAATTTGGCAACGCCTGAAGGTTCATACGGCGTTTTTCCTTAGCACGGCAGTATTACCGATTTCTTCGACCGCTTTGAGGTGCATCTGATCCAACTTGGACCCTTGAAGTGTCATTAAGTACTTGTCTTTTGGCACTCAGGATCTTTTCCTTCGACGAACTTCTTCACATATTGTGCAATTTTGGGGCTGTGTCAATACTTTCGTTTTTTCGAGTTGGTGTGCTTTCATTCTCACTGATTTAATTACAACATTTATATTATTAACAGGGTCCTACAGGCCTCAAAAGCAACGAAGAAAACCCCGATACCTCAAATCCGCCCCCTTGTTGAATTACCAAACAGCAAATCCTGGCTCTCTTCACTTAGTTGATTGAGCGTTATTGGCGCCTCTAGACTGTTATTTTGTACTTGAATATTTTATTATAGGTAATAGTTGAATACCTAGTTGTTACTGCTTTTGCTCGCTCTTTTGTCTCAAACTCCTTTGGTCTTCTTCTAATTCTTTTCTGTATCGAATCATTTGTAATTAAAAGTTTGCTATTGAGGAATAATAATAACAATAAAAAAAAATCATAGTATTCAAAGATTTAAATGGGGCCTGGAAAAAAATGAGAATCAAAATTGTAATAATCAAAGTTTTATTACAAGATCAACATTATTTACAAGAAAATACAACTGAATAATAAAAAAGGTGAGGAGACCTGACATTAATATTGATGCCTGCTCAGTGCTGTTGGTGTTACTTACTCTAAGCTTCCTGTGGAATTTAAAATAATTACATTTTTATCCAAATACCTAACACAAAAGCGGTATTTTGCTGTCGCTATTTGCTACACATACAAAAAGAAGTAAAACATAAAAAGGTTGAGAGCAATATCCCTGATCTTATAATACAAGTTGTGGGTAGGTTTCATAATGTATACACCCTCACATTTTACTTCCATAGAATTTCACTGATCTATGCAGCAGAGGTGTATTGCCATCCCTTCAGAGGCTCGATCAATTTATAAATGTTGGAACTTGCAATCTGCCATGAGTCAAAATATGTCATTTTTGTGGATAAGTTGTTCTATTTTTTTACTGGGTAAAAAAGAAAACACAATTGGGATCCTGTTGATGGCCAGGATTGCCACAGCATTCAGGAAATAAAATCCCCCGACAGTTTCCTTGCGAATTTTGGTGAAATTCCCTGACATTTGAGGATGTTCACAATGGTTAAGAACTAATAAGATATAATTTGAGATAGTTTTCACGCACATTATTCCTTCAAAACATTAAATACATTCCAGAAAGCATGTATAAGGCATATCAATGTGATTCAACGATTTTTCTCTGTAATTTTTGTCATTTCTCTTAACTTTTTAAAATTACCACTTTTCCGTGAATGTGACAACTCTGAATGAAGCAATCGAGAATTATGTTTTCTCCAAATTACTAATTGTGAGACCCACAACAAGATACATATTATTTAAAAATGCTTCCTTCTGGCTTATTAATGAGAGTTTATGTATTTGTTGAGGGCCTATTTGATAAAGATTAAAAAATTGTTCACTTTTAAAAGCATTAGAAAAAGCACATAGAATTGTGAATTGTTGAGGCAAAAGTAAGCGCTGATTATTACATGAGTTTTGAACTTGCATTGTTTACTTATGCTTTGTTTAGCTTTCTTAACCTATGCATTTTCCTTCTTACTTAAATTGAATACTCTGCCTAACTTAGTTGTAATAAGCCAGTTTATTTTGCTTATTATGTTTGATGTGATTTGTTCATTACAACTGTTATGTATAATGTATTGGTACCGAATTTCAGACTGCCTAGCTTCTTAGTAAATTGACATTTTATGATTAGCTTAGTGTCATGGGAACTTAATTTTAAAGAAATATTGCGTGGGGATACTTATTTCTTTTGATAATAAATGATAATCAATGAATGCTACAGCAGTGTCAATAGTAGCAAAACCGTATGAAGAATCGTTAAAAAAAAAAAGAGAAAAAAAATTAACACATTCATAAGTAACAAGAACTTTTCTTTTAGCAACCTGCTACAAATTCTAAAAACAATGGATATCCGTACCAGAAATTGTCCGCCTTTTTGAACAGTAAGCAACATATTTTTCCTCCTATTCTATTTTTGGATTCTTTCCATCCTCATTACACATACTTCATTGTCTTTTAGTTGGTATACATGATTTTTTTCCAAATTTTGTAATGGTATGCTGAAAATAACTATTTTGTAGCTGAAGAAAACAAGTAACTGCTATCTTCGCTTGATATCGATGGGTGAAGTAAAAAATGCAACATTTAAAAATCTTTAAATACAATTTAATTTAATTTAAAAAAAAAAAAAAAAAAAAAAAAACTTAATTATCCGACCACAATATCTCATTGAATTTTTCTGAGAATATTTTTGAATAACCAAAGAAAATTTACTGAACATTTTAAGACAAACTGTCAATTAGTTTTCTTTTTTTTTAAAAAAAAAAAATTAAACATAAGCTGAGATTTGCCATACCATAATTGGAGATACGCGTCAACTTCAACTTCAACCATCGATATGTTTACTTAGGGAAAGGAAAGTAGCTGTGCTACTACAGACATATTTACAAGTCAGCCTCATTATTACCGTGACATAGATAAGATGTATGTCAGTTCGACGGTCCATGAGATACTTTGTATTTTTTTTTATATTTTATGTATGATTTCAAATTGATGCGAGTTTGCTATGCATCCACCAAAGAATATAATAGACTAGATGGCAGGGGTAATGTAGAAAAAATCTTCCATTTCCACAACAGCTATTCATAGGGGCTATTGATGGGACTAATACAAGGTAACATCAGAGGACGACAATGCATCTTAAGTTTTCCACATTAAGTTTGGTCAGGTGTTTGATCGAAAGAGTAACAAACCAAAAGTGGCTCTGTTAAGAAGACCACAGTTGAAGGGCAATGATGGTGTTGCTATTTTCACAATCAGCTGCATTACACGACTACTGAACCACCAACCAATTGTGAGGCCCATCAGAGATCACCAGGCATTTCTGAAGGGGAAGAGGTAAAAAGAATTACAGAATATCATTACACACATACGGTCTGGCATTCTTCTAGATCTCATGAAACGGTGACATGAAAACTTGGATAAGGTGATTTTCTACGAATTTAATTTTTATAATTTTCAAATTATATTGATAAATATTATCTATGAAAAACATTTTCTGGGAGGTTATCTGACATCCCTGTACTAATGGATACAGAAGACACGTCAGTGTAGAGGTTAGTAAGAGGTGATAAGGTGAAAAAACTCAGTTATCATAATTTCAACAACACAGTGCACACAATGGGCCCAATTCAGATAGTCAAAATTTTCATTCGAAAAAAGCGGACAAATAGATGAGTAAAAGGTTGAGCGCAAAAAAATTTGATTCAATTACCATTGCAGTATGATATCATTATATAACTAGACATTTTCATTTGAGTATTTCTGTTAGCTTCTGGTTTGCGAAAATTCAGCTTAGCTTCTGGTTTGCGAAAATTCAGCTTCAATTAAGTTGGTCAGAAGATTTTATTCTAATTTTTTGTTCAACTTTCCATCCAATTAGTTTAATGAAAAATTGAAACTGATTGAAAGGTGAATTGAAAAGTCTTTAAAAAAAATTGAAAGCAGTAAAGTTGTGCAAAACAAGGAACACTTTATTTTTGTTTTACTGTCAAAATATTCAAAGACTGAATGAAATTAACATTCCGGTACTCAAATACTTCCGGACTTCATTAAATTTTGTGCTGAATTGGCTTAAATTTTGATCATGTAATTTTGAAACTTTTAAAGACAGAATCGCTAAGCCCTCTATAATAGCCGCAACTCTCTTAGAGAATATCGCCTGAAAACCGCTTGTGAGCTATAAGGCTGGGCTTAAAGTCCAGTAAAAGAAAAGTGACTTAAAACTTAGAGTCACCACAAGCAATTAAGATACAAAAAAGAGAAAAAACAAAAGTTCTCACCTTGGACAGTTGACTAGATTAGCGAGTTCTTCTATCACAGAGGATCATTGCATTTCACAATAGGTACAAGCTCCGAACAATAGCTGAGAGAAAATTAGACATGCATCAGGACAACCGGGTAATCTGGGTGGAGGCGCGGGTACGGATACACCACTTCTCCCTAAAAAAGAAAGGAAATATTAATTATCTGGTCAAAAGCAGTATTTTTAGAGAAAAGAGCTGCGATGAAATTTCAATCCATGACAAAAATATGCAAAATAAATTGAAATTATAGAATAAAAATTTGTTTAATCTATCACTACCTATACTCATTGCAAATAATTTTAGCACCCAGAACATAGTAGATGGGTAATGGGCAACCAATGGCATCATGGCATTATTCCAATGAAGTTTTGGTAATGCCTTGAATTTAACCTGCCAAATAATACTTTGATAAAAAGTAAGTTGAAAGTAGTTATAGACTAAAATAGTGATACATTTTCTCCTTTTGAAAACTGTGAAAAACAAAAAACATTGTTCAAGTGCAAGTATAGATCAAACTTTCGTAATGAGTCTTAAGGGAAAAAAAGCTTTAGACATATTTTTCCCATTTCAATCTTCATGAAGCTTGGTCCAAAGCTACTGAACCGTTCGGTTAGTAATGAGAAAAAAAATCAAAAATATATCAGCTGTGTAGAAATTTCATCCTATAAACTACAGGTGTCGTCAGATACCTACCTAAGTTGACATTTGTTTATTTTCGATTTGCAGGCATTTCCGCATCACTACTATCCACATGAAAACATCCCACTCTCAAGAAAGTGAGAACACAAGCTTGGATAGGTTTTTAATACTTTCAAACCTTGTAACATTTTAATTTTCAGCCATACAGAAAAGACAACCACATAAAAGTTGCGGATCATAACTGATACCTAAGTCAGTATTTTATTACAATACCATCATGAGACGGATGTTTTTAAGCTGGATAAAAGCCAATGACACTTTGTGCAGAGGCGTAAATTTGTTGCCTTTGCCTGCCAATGGAAAGTAAACAAATGTCAACTTATCTGACAACACATCTTTCTGTAAAATTTCAATAATTTGAAGAAGCAACCAATCCTCTTACCAATGTTACTTAATATAGAAAGCAGGTAATGCTGCAAAATTCCTACAAAATAAATTTACCTGTGGTTTCAGGTCATTTAGGATTCGTTTCATACGTTTTTTCCGATGTTTGGTTTTAACTTCCACGTAGAATTCATGGGCTAGATCTCCATCACTATCAAAGTACATAGACCTGCCATGAAAAAAAGAAAAACACATTGTATTATTAGCGACATTGCTTAACTTGCATACCTACATGTAAATATCAAAAAGAAATAAGAACAACCATGCCATCCCATGATCGACATTCATACTTTTTTGCTTTGAAATCATTTTCAGACCAGGATGTTTCCTGAGTGAGTAAAATTATTCTCATCTTGGAGATAATTACAAGAGCATAATATTGACATGTAGCTGACAGTAAAGCTAAAAGCACAAAATATTACAGAGGTGCAAAAACCACCCAATCAAGCATCCAAGCAGGATGTGGTCCGGCCCAGGTGAGAGTCCGAAGGTCCCAAAAAGGGGTTTTTCAAATAAGCATACCAGCAAAATCTTTTTCTAATTCTATATGCAACATTGCAGTATTTATCACATTTTTTTTGTTGTGAAAAATCCTAGCATTTCATACATCCATAAATATGTCCAATTTCTCAAATTCCCGAGGATAAAGGGGCTTGAACGTGGGAAGGCCAGTTTGAAAATTGGGAAGGCTAAACTTCCTGCATCTACGAAGCATCATATAGAATACCTATCTGCAAAAAATACTTCCCTAAAAATAAATTTCCAGATATGAAAAAAGACCAGTTCAATGAAAATCCACCAATCTGTTGACCACGAATTATTGCGGCAAGCAGCATGGTGAATTTCGTCTGTGAGAATCTATTGGCATCTTCTTACAATATGGTTCGACAGATTTCTGATCTCCTACATTCTCCTGTGAATGACAGCGCGAGACATTTTTCAAGGCTTACTAGGTAGTATAAATGGACGGAGTTAAACAGAAAGGAACCAAGCCACATCGGGATCGAACCGAGAAAAAGAGCTTTAAAGTTTGGCTCCTGCATAAGACTCAATGTAAAAGATAAACTTTAAGTTCAATTTCTGCAAAATTTGCTTCAACAAAAACTTTGAATTTTTGGCGATAGATAGTAGAGCAGTGGTTGAGTTCAAAACAACTCATAACTCAATTTTTTCCAAAATGTGGGTTGGTTCCTTTCTGCTTAACTCAGTCCAAATGATCTTTAGAATTTATTGATGCCACTTCCATTCTGTTCTGAATATCTGGGGATTCGTTTACCTATAAATGGGTGCTTCTTGCTACAATGAATTATGGAGATCTAAGATTGGATTTCAAGAGGATAATGAGGAATTTTTAGATTATTTTAGAAATTTTGAGAAACCTTTACTAGAGCTCGCGCAACGAATGTTGAGTTAAACGTCAGTCTCTGATTAGCTCTGAATCAGCACCACTCACCACGTTAATACAAGCAGTTAGATGACACCACTGATTAGTGGTGGCATAAACAATACTTCGACATTTGTCTCAACATACGATGCGCGAGCTCTTGCCAAAGAGCCGTCTCAGGAGACATCAGTAATTCCATTATGCCTCAGAGCATAGAGTTTAGGAGGGTCACAAAGGAAGATATTTGAAGAAACATATACAAACCCTTGTCGAGACAAGACGTAAGTTGGACCGGAAAATAAGTTCACAGCAGGTCGTTTAACACAAACATTGCTGCTTTCTGGGTAGTTGTTGTTGCTCGTTGGTTTGGAAGGCGAGGCCCTCTTGAAGTATTTTGAGCCTGTAGAGCCCATAACCTAAGGATCAGCCAGAGACCAATACTGCGAGAAAAAAAATCATTATACTAGGAAAGTATTAGGAAAAGATTGGATGGAAATGTAAACTGTTAGATAGCTTGTCCATGGCTTTCTTGGGAGTATGCTAGGACACTCAAACCTTCTAGATCACAACCTGAATACCAACAATATGTGTACCGGGTTCACTGAATACACTATTCAGGAAGGATACTTTCTTAAAGTTCACTTAAATAATAACTTCAGATGGAAATATTGTAAGTTGATAGCACGGAAAACACGCTAAACTCGATAAAAACACTGATAAACTGATAAAAATAAACCCTCAAAGAAAGAAGTTACAGGAAGTGGTTAATACGAGGTTTGCGGCCATTTTGTACGTCATCAAGATTATATGTCGTCACTTTGGTCTAGCAACAGCTGCACGTGTGTATCATGGTATCATTATCATTCACATGTGTAGGTACATTCCGTGCATCGCATCTTTTAATAGTGTAACACAATGGCATGTAGTTTTGCCAAAAATAATAAGGTCACTTTTGCAGACAAATTTCCCGCAAGTTTCCATTTCACACAAGTTTAACGGATGAGCCAGAAACTGTAGCTCCTAATCGCAAAAATGTGCTCCACATGAAGTTTGAAGTGGCTCCGGAAGGGGGTACAAGGATGTTTCTCTGTCTCGATAGACTAACGTCAGCAAAAGATATTAGCTCGCAGACATGGACCCCAGGGCCAGATTAAGGGGGTGGCCACATGGGCCGCGGCCATGGCGGCAAAATTAGGGGGCAGCAAATTTTGCAATTTTTTTAAATGCAGGTACAAAAAATCGGATTCAGAGTGAAATTACTAACAAGAAAAGGTGACAAAATCTCTCATTTCCGGAGAGTTCATTAATTTCTAATTTTGTCGTATTTCGGTGATACAAAAGACTGCGCACCTTTAATTAGTTTAGTTAAAAGAGAAACCAAACACTTAATTTGGCCTGGAGCGGCGCGGCGCAGAGAGAAATGATGACGAGGACTTGAGATGAAAAGGAGAAGCCCGCGGCGCGCGGCGGTCGGCATGTAACACATATTAGCGCCTACGAGTCTGCATGAATACTTCACGCATTGCGTCAAACACAGTACGGTCAACAGCGGTCGGCGCGGCGCGGCGCGGCGTGAAACGCACAGTACCTACAAGATTACATGAATACTTCACGTGGTCAAACACAGTGTGGTCAGCGCGGCACGAAGGCGGAAGTTACAATTATTAAACCACATTTTTGTTTGTTCTTTCTTAATTTTTTAGTTCATTTCTTACAAATGAAAGGCTTTGTCCACACAGAGATAGGTTTACGGAACTGAACTTTTGCTAGTAGTGTTGACAGGGCTTACGCAAAAAATGTGTCCAACACGAGTGAACTTGTGTTATGCACCCTTCTCCCTCCGGCACGTTCAACTGGGCGTTTTTATTGATGTTTCAAAATGAATGAGAAGAGGGCGGCAAAATACAGGCGGCCCATAGGCGGCAAGTAGGTAAATCCTACCATGATGGACCCCCCTTTAATTTTTTTTCTAAAAATCTTAATTTAGAGAACTAAATGTTCTGAAGTCTAATCTGGTAGAATTTGATCGACAAAATTTTCGAAATGAAGGCTCTCGCTGCTCCCGCACTGCAAATTGGTAGCTGAATTATAAAATACCTATGCGTCTACGGTTTAACTCAATTGGACGCATAATTATGGTGAAAGGAAAAATGTTGCTCGCTTGCAAATCCTATGCACACAGTTCCTTTCAGCATAGGTAGGTACGGTAAATTGATATATCTTTAAAAAAGAAGTGAAATTAGTAATAGCTTGCTTCATCGGCAACATAAGCAACGCTAGAATTAAGTTTGCGTATAAGAGAAACATCAAGGCGCCCTTAGTTAGTGTCGAATACTGGCGAACTCTTTCCATTTTAACTCCTGGATGCAACTATTTGTGCTCCGGGCTTCATGGACGTCTGTGTTGCATACACACGATTGTGAAGGCGTTTTGACTGTCCAAGCACTCACCACTAACTTCATCTGCGGCCCGCAGCGCCAAATTGACAGAACGCTTTCAATTATTCGTTTTTACTACTTTACGAGGATATCTCTTAGACATTGATAGTTGCATACAGCCTTAGGATTTGAGTATATTTATTTTGTGCTTCAGTTACATGTATGATACCGCGATTCATGCCCAACAAGAGATGTCCTCGAAGTATGAATGAAGGGGTGTAATTGAAGACACTCTGTCATTTCAGATACTCGCAGTAAAGGCCTTCGCACAATGAAACGAGCATTTGGACCGCGTTTAGCAGAAAGGAACCAAGCCACATCAGGTGTTGCCAAATTTAATGGGGCAATTTCATTTTGTACAAGAGAACGGTTGTGGGGATTCCTTTGAGAATTTTGAGGAATTTGCTTTACACTACGCAGAAAATTTACAGAAATTTTCAAAAAAAAATCCGCACAACCGTTTTCATGGAAAAACTTAAACTGCCCAATTAAATTTGGCAATAACTTATGTGCCTTGGTCCCTTTCTGCTTAGCGCGGTCCATATCCGAGAGGCTGGAAATGAATTTTCGACTAAAACTGCAAATTTTGATGTTAGATCCTTCACATTATAAGTTATAGAGGGTACTACCCGAATAAGAAAATTTTACGAGAGAATCAATGAAATCATTTCTGAAACGTTTAAACATTTCTCTACGTTCCGTTTTAACATCGATTTGAGCTTTTAGCGTTTCCACATTTTGTCCGAATCTTCTCATGGACTCGCTTTATTGAGCGCTGCTTGTGAGCGGTTAGTGTCTGAGGCCAAAACGCCTTCTTCTCTGTGCTTATGCAACACGGATATCAATGGCGTGGCGTGAATGATCAATTTTCGATATTTCACCATTTGAAGGTATGGTGAAGAATCGATTATCAAGGTGTTCGTTGCGAACACACTGTATATCAATCTTTTTCCACAGGTTTAAAATGCAGATCAATCGATACATCGCAAAGCACACCACGCTACTGACGGACATTCATAGAGCCCGAATATAGTTGTATCCAGACGTTATAATAAAATTCGTTTAGTATCCGTCGTGTGCGACACTAAGTGATGCTTTGATTGTTTCCCTTAAATCTTAGTTCAATTCCAGCGTTGCCTATTGTACCAATGAAGTAAACCCTAACTGATTTTGATCGCGATATTGCCAATTTCCCGAGAGATGCATAGTTTAAATTAACAACATTAGTGGCCCTCGAGCTCACAAAAAAATTAGATATCTCAGCATAATTTGTAGAGTATCTTTTAACATACTGTACTTAGTGAGTTATTCTTGTTTGGATTTTCTTTGTTATTTATTCCTTCGAGGAAACAAATCTGGACGTTTGAGCCCGACATTTTCAAAGAACAATCCTGATGAGTGGCACGGAATTTGGAACAAAAACGATGACCATTCAGCTTTCGAAAAAATGAAATGCGTCAGATAATTTGTTACACCACTCCGCTAAATACACGTATATCGATGGTCAAAGTGCGAAATCACGTTTATTTGTTAGCAACATTGCAGACTTCCTGTCATATTGTATTTTTTCCTTAGAATATTAATCTAATTTCTCGAAGATTTCCTTAATTTTTCCTCTCTGTTAGTAGAATATTCTGTATAGTTTTCAAGCTTAAAAGCTGGCTTGTTTTTAATCGAAAAAGTAAAGTAGGAGTGGAAATTTTGAAACACGACCGCGATGGATATTCGAGGTTTCGCACTTTGGCCATCGATGTAATTTCCTTAGTCAAATGGCGAAAGTTGAGAACAATAAATGTCTGGTCAATATACTAAGTTCTGCTCTTTCCCTTCTAAAATGTGAGCTGCTTCTAGTTAATTTTTACTTACTTTTAGATTACAAGATCATGACGACTCTGTGATTTAGCTGGATTTAGCGCAACTGACCCATTAATCATAATATCGGAATCCACTAAACATTTTCAATAAAACTTTTGAGCCTAGATCAAAACTTTAAAGCTTATTTTTATGAGAGACTTTTTTGTAGTTATCAGTCTATATGAAGTGTGAAATTTCGATTTTTTGAAAAGAGTACTAAAAATTGTTTACCTAAATGCAAATTTATATCGACGTTTGAATTGTGATACGCGAAACTTAACGCCGAAGATCCACCTAAAAGTGGTCTTTCCCCACATTGGAGAACGATTCGATGGGCGGTTCATCAACGAAAAATTTCTGGATTTCAGAACATCCGTCGAGAATTGCCGAGAATCTCATCCCCTAAACTGGAGCATCCTAAGCAAAATTTGAACTTTCATTTAACCTTTGAGAAAGGGCGACTCGATATTTCAGTGGTGCCGCTGCTTATTTGGAAGTTGATTTCAGAATATGTTGCGCGTGAATCATTTTCTTTGTGAAATATTGATGCGAAAACATGTAACAAATGGCCTCAATTTAAAAATTTCATAACATTTCAAATTTTGAAATTTCATTAAATACCAACAAAGTGGTTTGGACGGCAGAGATTATGAACAAATTTTTTGTAACGCTTTTTTTTCTTAAATTTTACATTCTATTACAATGGGCCCTAAAAAGTCTCTCCTCGTAAATATCAATCCTTTTTTGAGTTGATGTTCTTTAACCATTTACAAAACTTTGAAGGTTTTTTTTTTTTTTTTTTTTTTTTTTTTTTTAGTCGATGAATTTACAGACCTACCTGCGCAAATGTGACCTGCCGATATAAGTTCAAGGAACGAAAACAGACTAGACTAGTTTTCTCCGTTATTGTTGCGCCTGATACGTAGCCTTCAAAGCTGTAGCGCACGTCAAACTGCCTACCCAGCGAGGCGAAATTACTCAGAATTCTTTTCGAAGTTCTATCACGCCGACATGAGCGTAACCAGAAAATTTTAATGGGGAGCGGGGCAGAAGGACGCCTAATCTAGGGGGGTGGGGGAGGGGGGTATGGATAGCATCCATCGTCTCATATGCTGCCCATCAGGGGTAAACTGATCGGAGGACCCAGATAAGACATAATATTTTTACAATATTGGGCAAATATTGTCAGTACTGTCGCAATATTTACACAATACTGACAATATTTTGATAATATTATAATCAAAATTATTTTTTTAGAAAATATTTAAAGAATCATCATCTAGTATTTTTAAAAATAATATGTTTACCCAAAACATCATAAAAATATTTTCAAAATATTTGTATTTCAATACTGTAAAAATTTATATCGTGAGAGTATTTTTAAAATATCAGTACATATAATATTTATATTCAAAATATTTATTATATATTTTAAAAACATTTTAAAAGAC